AAGGTGAACCGATTTTAAATTGTTTCCAGTAATGTTCATTATTACTAGTAAAACTAAGGGATACTTTCCTTTTCTTCTGAATATCTTATGCACAAGTTTTTCACTTTCTCTGACTTACATTAAATTAAAAACAATCAAACTGTTTATCAATAATTAGTATACTTAAACTAAACGATCTTTGATTATTTCACTACCTAAATACATATCAACTCTACCTGTGTGGTGCGCGCTACTTATAAGTAGTATATGACGCGCGAGTGTAAACGTAATGTCTGGCAGCAGAAGATGGGGGAAAGATCAAGAAAGGAAGAGTGGGAACACAATGGAATTTGTATGCAACGCATGAATAGTGAAATGTCAGACAATGGATTGATGATGGGTTGAAGAATTGCAAATTAATCGTTTACGATATGGTTTTCCTATTTTACTGAGTAAATCTGTAATTTTCGTAAAATACAATTCGGTCGCCCTCACCTGTGTTCTCCTTCACTACACCTGGAGCCCGTCTAAGGTTACTGCTGGTCCTAAGCCCGGTAGATAAAGGAGGAGGGTTGGGCATGTGCTAAGCGACCCCACCACGTAGAAATTCAACTCGCTAGAAAAATGATTCGCTGGTCGAAGGCTTAATCTCTATTAGGGGTACTAGGTGTATGTAAGTAATTAAGTTGATGTATATCACAACAATATTCTATCGCTTTTATATTCGATAGAAGACTGTTGTTTTTAGTTTGCGATTTTATTTTTGTAAGTTCAGTGTTGTTTTGCATGAATTTGCAGACCAGAGAGTTAATGTGATTGAATGAATTTATTTGGAAACAGCTATAAGTATACACCAAATGTTATTGTCCAATAACTATGAAGTGTTCAGTATAGTTCTGTTATGCTCGTCACTTGATATGCTTAAAACTATTACGCGTTCACCTTATTCGATGAACGAGAACAAAACAATAATGAACCAGTGTCCGAGTAGGTTACTCTGATCCGTTGACCCAAATGTGCTAACAAAAAGTTTTGATATAACTTAGAAAGTATATTCTACAAACATCCCACAAGCACACAATGAATTCAAGCACACAAATCGCATTTATTAATACATCATAGAGACGTCCTTGAGAGAGTCACAGAAATAGCAAGCACACTAAAATAATACAGTAACCAACCACAGTCAAGGGTTTTCCTGGTGGGAAATGTAGCCTCAAGGTCAACTGATCAGCCCATGAATAAAATCCAAAATAAAGACATTTACCAAACAAGATCTGAGGATCTACTATCCCCAACAAGTTCAGTAATTTTTGTACTCATTTAAGGACTGAATATTGATTGTTGTAATGTAACATACCCTGAAAAATATTAATTTCAAGCCCTAACTTTCACCTGCTGGCATGTTGGACTGAGCCACAACGCATTCGCTGGAGACAAATGCAGACAACTGCAGATACTTGAATAAAGATCCATACAGAAAAATTACAATCTTATAAACAGTATACACTCACTAACTGGATGGTAAAAGGCCTGAAAGTTATAGATAAAGTTTGTTTTGAAACTGTTCAACAAGAATTATGACTACCATAAAGATTACTTCGGTTATTCTTAGAGTTTGTCAATTGAATTACTTTGTTTATATTCATATTTTTAGAAAACCACTGAAGCTGGATAAATATTGACTTTTAACTCGAGAATGCTGAAGTACACACCTACTTTGATTACTGATTTCTCTTATTGATCAAGTTCAGTGATATATCAGACAGAGAAAAATCAATAGTAAGTTTGTCTATTCTACAAATCAGCTTTTAGTTACAAATGTCAGTTCTTATTCTCATGTTATACCGTTTTTGCTAAATATCTTATCAATGAAGAAGATTAATTTTACGGTCAAAATTCATTCAATAAGTTTTATCTTTCTTTTTAGGGTTATTCATGAAACTCACGCATAAATTCATTCATAATAAAGGACACATGAGTTCATTTGACAATATTTATTAAATATTGCACAAGTCTAATTTAACTGATCATAGATGTCAGTCAAATAAGGTAATGAATACACGTTTTTTTTCTTCTGTTGATTGCATAATCCGTATACGTGAAAATATTTCACATTCTTTTAAAAGTTCTCTAAAGTTGTATTGATCTTTCAGTGATTTTCTCTTTGGTGATGTTCTACCAAAAAATATGAAGAATATTTATATTGGAAGATATTACAAGGACTTAGATATTGTTAGATTCTAGTTGCCTGATGGAAATAGTATTTTTTTTGAAGTTTCTCATACATTAGTCTTTTTTTTACACATTGAAATCATGAATCAATCAATTTCCGGCCACCATTAGAAATCCAAAAGCATTGGACAGCCGATTTGTCTCAGTATAGGACTCGTCAGTGACAGTGTGCATCCATGACTCCCGAAACTCTCAGCATTCGAACCCAGGACATTCGGTCATGCACGCGACCTCCAATCCACTGATCTGGCCGGCATCCAACGGTGTTAATGTCTAACTCTGATTAATCTAAGGATTTTGCACAACTTCACCGACGCTCTTCGTTAGTTATAGCCTACAAGCGACAGGGTTGAACTCCACTGGTCACGTCTTCTCTTACAATAACTTGCACACTTACTAATAATTGGAAGTGATAGCTTCGTGAATTTTAAAGATTCTTTGAATAATTTCTAATTTTATTCACGTTAGCTATTCATATATATAAATAAATTATATTTGTGATAGCAATAAATAACGAACTCTCGTTAATTATTTTCTGTTTGATTGAAAACTATAAATGTATATTATAATGATTAACTTACTAGGTTACAGATCAAAGAAACACTTTAACTGTGAAACCTATTTAGAACACGTAAATTATATTTTTCCGATTGAACTTGTATAAAGTGAGTTTCATTCATGATATATATAACTAGGACAATTAATTTTGATGACATGAGCACTCTACTTTTTTCAGTTGATAGAAAATATCAGGTAAATCACATGATTCCAATCAGTGAATATTTATTTGTCATTCGCCGATTAATTAAATAACATAATTTTTGTCTACTTGTTGAGGAGGTTAGATCCTCAGAACTCGCTTGATAAATGTCTTTATTTTGGATTTTATTCATGGGCTGATCAGTTGACCTTGAGATTACATTTCCCCCAACGAGAATCTTTGGCTGTGATTTGTTACAGTGTTATTTTAGTATGCTATTTCTGTGACTCTCTGAGGGACGTCTCTATGATGTATAAATAAATGCGATTTTTGTGCTTGGATTAACTGTATTTGCTGGTTGTTTGTAGAATACACTTTCTACGCTATATCAAGACTTCTTGCTAGTACATTTGGGTCAACGGATTAGCGTAGCCTAATCGGACACTGGTTCTCATTTATCGACTAAAGTGAACCGGTAAATAGTTTTAAGAATATCAAGTGACAAGCATAATACTACTGTTTATTAAAATTTAATCTTGTGATTTGTCTCACAATACTATCGTCAAATCATTTAGTCTCATTTACAATTTATATGATGTGATTAGACCCTAATAAATATTAGTTGTCTATATTTATACAAGTTTTTATTTGATAAACTCATTTTTAAGTTTTTTAAATATGAATTACTTTTTATAGTAAAGCATTTGTGTTAGTTCGTTTGTGACAATGAATTTTCTAAGGGGTGTTTTTAAATTCCTGTCAAATTGTAATTATTTGTAGACATATTTTTTTGGCATTTTCCAAAAAAATTCAAATGACTATGTAAAATAGTTTATAGACTGGGAAAAAACTTGATTTTTTTTAACTTTGTAGAGCTAGTTAAAAACTAGATAAATGAAAGATTCTATCAAGAGAATAGCAATCTTTGAAACGATATATAGTCGAAAATGTTTGACAGATTATGATTTACTGAATTGATTCTTCGAACTAGAGTTGTCAATAACGAGTTTAAGCTTTGATAAATCAAATGATCTGATTGCTAGAAAGTCAAGCGGACTTGGAAGGATAGGGACACTCGTCGTTGCCTCTAATTCATATCAGCCTACGCTCCCACTGACTGTAATTCAGATGAGGTGAAAGATGCGTTCTACTGGAAGCTTTCGAACCTCCCTCAAAACGTTGGGTGCTCTGATATAGTAATAATGGCTGGTGATTTTAATGCTCAAGTAGGTAGACTAAGTGAAGAGGAAAGATACCTGGGTGAATGTCATGGTGTCGCGGTTAAAAGAACAGATAATGGCGACTGTCTGCTGCACATATGCTCAGATAACCGCCTATTCCTAACAAACACTAACTTTAATCATAAGGTAAAACACCTTTATTGTTTATAGCTAAACACAAGCAAGCGCCATCTTGTTTCTCACATAAACCAGTAACTTTAATGAGAAATATGATATTTCGACTACAGTTCAATAGTCAATAGTGAAAAGTGACAAATGGTTGATGCTCAACGTTCAACTTACTGAAGATAATGCTTAGAAATAACATAAATCAAATGTAATCAGTGAATTTTCTGGAAATTCTTTTCAAATTAGAGATATCTACAAATCTACAGTTATTCTCATTATTTTACCCTCTTAGCTTATATTCTATTCAAACAACGATAGTTTTAGTTCAAAGTGTATTTGCGAAATCTCATACAAGGATTTTACGTCTGTGTCAATTTCGAAGTGGAGATATTTAAAGGAGTTTGATCAGTCAAGTGTTTCCTGACCTAGTTTTTTGTTCACAGAAGACTTCTGAATTAAAGGATATCATGTTTCAGATTCAATGTAATTTGTTTTAATGCATCAATTCAGTCACTTGTAAGGAGCACATTTTTAAAAATTCAAACTACTATTGCTAAAGTGATGATGATGGTTAGTCATTCATTATCTGCAACATTAAACCTTACAATTGAACAAAAAATAGCAACCTAATCAGTAGTATCAATCATATTTCTGCGATAAAACTTTAAAAAAACATATTATTTGAATTTTTCGGCAAAAAAAAACAGTTTCAATTAAAAAACTAAACAAATTCTTACCACTTCTAGACATTGATGTACCATGTAGATGTGTCTCATCTGTTTGACTTGGAGATTTACGCATATTTTGTGAATTCAATAAAATGGTTTCCATTAAGCTTTTAATTGTATTATTACTTGTATGATTATGTGTAATTTGTGAGTGTTTTTGTTTTTCATGTAGTAAATTTTGTAATTGTAATTGCATAAAATTACGATAGAATGTATCATTGGTAGATAATGAATTTTGCGATTCAGCAGTGTTCGCGACTTGTTCTGATACAGATGGTTTGATATTTAATGCAATCTGAGCTAAACTTTTAGCAATCTCACTGAGTTCCGGGTGTTGTGATTCAAGAAGATGTAAATCTGTTTCCATTTGATTAGTTGTATTATCTGGATATTTATTCATGAGTCAATGTGTTATTGTTGATGATGATGAAAATGTGTAAAATGTCAATATTTATTTGTATATGCGATGTTTTATCTTCAAAAGTATGCTGTTCTAACTAAAAAATAAACAATTTTAATCCGAGTTTTATTATGATTGAAGATAAATAAAGATTAGCCAATCACAATGAAGGTTATGCTGCAACCTTGATTTTGTAATTTCATTGGTTTTTGAAAATATGGTAGTTGGCTTAACTGTAATAAGTTTGCTTTATTTGAACAAACTAATAACCACCAATCAACATTAATTTCATGCAGAAGATTCACGTGGATTCAAGAAGGTTCTGGATGAATTTTTTTGTACAGTAATCGATGGTAGAAGTTATTTTTACGGTGGTATGAACCAATGCTAAATGAATGAATGACAAATCTTAGAAAATAACTCAATTATTACAAAAATATATTATTGAATAACCAGACAATATGGTTGATTACAAGTTGTTTTACTAATTAAACTGATTTCATACTATAGCTAGTTGTTAGTCATTCTTAAATACTGTCAAAACATATGAATGACATGGTTTTGTAATGAGGGGATATAATAGTTAACAACTTAGATTTAGAAAATATCATAAAGATTAGATTTTAAACAAAGCATCTTTGTTTCAACGTTTATTATAGGAGGAATTGAGCAGAATTAAAACTTTTTCATGTATTCTATTGGTTAGGATGTTAATAGTAGACGGTTAGATAGCAGCGTAAACACTGGTTATGATGTCATGACTTTGCACATACTATTCAAAGGTTATTTTCATCATACACCTCTATTTTCGTTTTTTGAGTTAATTAAAAGAGAATTGCTTTGTTGTATCATTGGTTTCTATTAGGATAACCTAATTATGTTCAGTTGATTAGAATTTATAGTTTCAATATACAAATTCGGGGAAATATCACTTCACTTGAAGAAGTTTGGATAATAATTCACTGAGGTCAGCTGTTCAGCTGGTGTATGGCTGCGTTAGACTATGATATTTATGAAGTATTCAATATGCTATAAAATAAATCTCTGCTTCAGTTTCAGTTTATCATATTTAGGCGAACCCTGTCTGTGCGGCGGGGCTAGTAAGAAGCCATATACAGATTTGGTTTGATAACTTTATTTCAGGCAATCGTCTATGCAGACAGACGGAAACAAAAACCGTACAAACACAGCAAAGCGAAGTGAAGTGTAGAAGGCAAGTGAGTCAACTCAATGTAACGAAGCTTTCCTTAGTATTTGTAGTAAAAAGCTGTAAGCTTGACATATATAATAATCGAATTAAGCCTACACACAAATGAACTCATCTAAAAACTAACCAAAGTTATAAGTGATTAATAGACAAGGTCGAAAAGCATGGGAATAGTAACTCAAGGGGTTGGATTAATTGATTTTTCCAGAAGGATTGGAACAAGTCTTGCGGTTTCGGCATAAAAGTACACCCAATACAAGGGTTTCCAGTGTGGTTAAATACAATATGCCACACTAAGTTGCATTCATATTGGTCAGTTATTGGTTTATTTACTGGAAACCTTTATGATACTATTTACAAAGACTTGGCCGTTAAGAGTAGAGTACTTTCGAACGTTACTAGTGTTCGATGATCGATATCTCCGAAGCATTGCTCGTGTATCATGGGACAACCGTATAAGCAATGCTGTCGTTAGGAAACGACTTCTGGGTAAGGACAGCAAATCAATAGATGAAGAAGTGTAACTTCATCAGTTGAGGTGATTGGGACATGTGTTACGTATGGCTAACCACCGACTGCCGCGACGAGCTTTGTTTTGTAGTGTAGGAGTAGGTTGGAAGAAAGTCAATGGGGGGCGGCCAGACAAAAACATGGCACAAATGCATGAAGTCACTGATAAGTGAACTGAGTCATGTAGGTAGATACAGGTTATCTGGTTGGGGTTCGCAAGACGATAGTCACTGATGGTTAGAGACCTCAAATGACATGGCTCAGAATCGTTTGCAATGGCGCAAGTGCATCCACTGTTTGTGTTCTATGAAATTCTAAGCTTCTGAATTCCTCATAATCTATACCTTTCCCCTTGTAAATTTATCTTACTGAATTAAACTTCTCGAAACATAGCTTCGCTTCCTAATCTTCTCCATTACTGTTAATACTTCTGTTATTGTTGCTATCACTGTTGGATTTGAACTGACAGTTGCGTCTCTGTGCTGATGGGGCATGGCAACTTGAACTGATGTACTTACGTACGAAGTTCTGCGTTGTATCTGTCTGTCTGTCTATTTACAAAGGCTATTTATCTGTGGATATTTGCACATAATACATCTTGAACAAAGCGTAAAATTTTTTTATCAATAACCAAAATAAGCTTATTGATTGCCTGTGTATTTTGACGTACATTCTCACTTGAATCAGACATAGTTCTTGATATTGATTACTGAATGATTGATATTTTTCAAATTGCATAGTATTTTTTGTTTCCCTTCAAGCTCTATTTCCCAATCGAGATGAATATTGAGTTTTTAGTTATATTTAAACGAAGAATAACAGTGTAACTCTGACATAATTTCATTTTCTTGGTTTTTTGAACAAGAAAAACAAAACTGAATTCCATTTGAAAATTCAATAACTTCAAATTTAGTAAAAAAAGTTTATGTTAACCAAACAGTGAAGTGATGATGATTGAAAGTCGATTTATCTAGGGCTCAATGTTTCAACAGTATGAATGATATTAAAAGATTCAATGTCTATTGAACATCATAGGAAATAAAAATCAACTTCTCGACAGGTTTTACTTATTTATTTTGAAAATAACTGACAATAAACACTCACTAATTCATAGTTTCACAATCGTTATGTAATGTATTTCGGAATATGAAGAAAATGATGTGTAACTGTTGCAGTACAGTATATTTGAATTTAAGTAGTATCTTTTGGTTTTAATCAACTAACGTTACCTTAATGTATTAGGAAATGTGTGTTGTTTGTAAATTTTAATATCAATTTTCAATGTTTAATAATACTATTATTTTCATTAAAATTATGAATCGATGATTGATAGACCACAGTTAGAAATCTGATGGGATTCACCAACCATGCGTACTCACGACCACTCCAGGACTTTCGGTAGCACACGAGAACGCTTGAACTCAAGACCACTGAACAGGTATCCAACGGTGTTAATATCTAGTGCCTAAATTCTGAGTTTTCTTCCCGTACAATACACACTTCTAATGAAACCAGTATGTTACGCCCGGCAGTGTAAACACATCATTTTGATATACTTGAACTATTACGAGTATACCTTAGTCGGAAAACGAGAGCGAGGATCCGGTGACACGACATGCTACTCAAATCCAATTATCCCAACCCCCATATTGAGTAAAAATAAGAAGAGTTGATATGAATTAGAACGTGTATCCTACAAGCATTCAGAAAGTGTGAAATCCGAGTTCAGAAGAGAATCGAGATCCGGAACTAGTGACAACCATAAAATTGACCAGTAGGAATGAACCAATAGGAATTGACCAATAATTCTCTTAGGATATTGGATGAATATCCTTACACAATACTAGGACCAAACGGCCGTTCAGTGCTTCCCGATTTCTAATGATGGTCTAACGATGATAGATTCATAGGTCTTCATGTGATACACTAAAGATATGAAATACAAACATTTTACACATGTCAAGTAGTTATTCGACAGTTCACCTGATCATTTACTACTTACTTCCATTGAAACTTTAAAAACGTCTTCCTACACTATCTAAACGATATTTATATTTACTGCAAAAATTCTAATTTACAATAGTTTCCACTAATACAAACTCATTTTTTCCGTATAATCGTTTTATTTTTCTGACCTAATCTCTGATAACAGAATGAAAAAAATGAAGTATTTCTTTTATTTCATAATCTAAGTTTCTTAAAAAACCTTTTTGCATTCAAAAAGAAACTACTGTACATTATGAAAGATAAATATCGATTGGTTTAGTTTTATATTTTAAAGCCAATGAAACAATATCATAGTAAGTAAATCAAGTGCACTATACTATAAATAGTAGTTAGTCACTGGATGCTATCAATGAAACAGTAATGTGATCAGCGTCTGTAAAGAAAAAAAAATCGATCAAACAGTAGTATTTAATAAAGAAATAAAGACCGTTGCAGAAATTACACTGCAAAGAACAGATGCTACACAGGATCTTAGCTCAGAGAGCCGATGTGAGGGCGCGGATCGGTAAAGCAAAGGCTGCGTTTCTACAAGTGAAAAATATCTGGAACTCCAAACAACTTCCAATCAAATCCAAAATCAGCATTTTCAATACAAATGTCAAAACAGTTCTACTGTGTGGAGTGGAAACTTGGAGAACTACGAAAGGCATCATCCACAAGATACAAGTATTCCTCAATACTTGTCTTTGCAAAATACTTCGGATTCGTTGGCCGGACACCATCAGCAACAACGTACTGTGAGAGAGAACAAACCAGATTGCAGTGGAGGAGGAAATCAGGAAGAAGCGGTGGAAGTGCATAGGACACACTACAGAAAACACCCAACTTCGTCACGAGACAAACCCTCACATGGAACCCTCAAGGTAAAAGGAAAAGGGGAAGGCCAAGGAACACATTACGTCGAGAAATAGAGAAAGATATGAGAGGAATGAGCAAACATTGGACAGAACTGGAGAGGGAAGCCCAGGAGAGACAGAGTTTGTTGGAGAAAACTGATTGGCGGCCCATGCTCAATTGGAGGTAACATGCGTAAGTAAGTAAGTAAGTAAGTAAGTAAGTAATGAAGAAATGATCATCAATCAATCATTGCTAGACTACTATTAGAAACCCACAAGTACTGGACGGCCATCAAGTGTTGACATGGGACTCATCAGTGGCAGTGCGCATCCACAACCCCTGCACCTCGCAGAGTTCGAACCCGGGACTTTCGGCAATGCGCGCGAGCGCCTAACCTCTGTACCATTGGGCCGGCATCCACCTGTGTCAGTGCCCTAATCTGACTAATCTACAGATGCGCACTGTCACTGATGAGTCCTATACTAGGACGAAACGGCCGTC